CTGAAGCCAGATTCAGGTCTGAGAAATGTGATATCTGAGAAAGGTCCACCACACACTCTTAGCCTCTACCACACACGCTGGCCCTCCCCCAACCACACTCTCAGCACCCTCCCCACCACACACTCTCAGCCCCCACCACACACTCTCACCCCCCCCCGCCACCACACACTCTCAGCCCCCACCACACACTCTCAGCCCCCTAACAAACACTCTCAGCCCCCACCTTACACTCTCAGCCCCCACCAAACACTCTCAGCCCCCACCACCACACTCTCAGCCCCACCCCACCACACACTCTCAGCCCCATCCCCACCACACACTCTCAGCCCCCCTCACCACACACTCTTAGCCCCCCTCACCATACACTCTCAGCCCCCACCACACACTCAGCCCCCTAACAAACACTCTCAGCCCCCACCACACACTCTCAGCCCCCACCACACTCTCAGCCCCACCCTCTCACCACACACACTCTCAGCCCCACCCCCACCACACACTCTCAGCCCCCCCACCACACACTCTCAGCCCCCCTCACCACACACTCTCAGCCCCCCTCCCCCACCACACACTCTCAGCCCCCCACCACACACTCTCAGCCCCCCACCACACACTCCCAGCTCCCCTACCCACCACACACTCTCTACCCCCCAACACACACTCTCAGCCCCCACCTCACACACTCAGCCCCCCCTCCCCACCACACACTCTCAGCCCCCACCTCACACACTCAGCCCCCTCCCCACCACACACACTCAGCCCCCACCACACACACCCAGCCCCCTAAACACACTCTCAGTCCTCCCCCCCCTAACCACACACTCTCACCACCCCCCCCCCCCCCCCCCCCAACCACACAATGTCAGCCCCTCTCCCCACCACACACTCCATATTTCCAAAATAGGGGTTGTTTAAACATGATCTTTTTCTTAACCTTATTTCAGACAGGGTCGTGGGTTCGTTTCTGACAGACACGGACATTTATCAGAAATCACCTTCTCTCTCTTGTCGAATTTAGCGGGTACCAGGTAAAGTCCTGGGAAATAAACGAGCCAGCGTAATGCTGACCACATTACCCACCGAGTGCCTACAAAATTTAGGTCTAGCCCTATCTGCCCAATACGCCCGATGGCGTGCAAAAGGGTCGTGTACTTTACTTGCTTTTAAAAATTTTTAAAGCAATTAATATGTTTACCATTCACAACACACTACAAGTAATTATTATTATTATTATTATTATTATTATTATTATTATTATTACTCGCTTAAACATGGTTTAAGTTCTTAGAGCCTCGTCCCATGAACAATTACAGTAATACTGATGGTGTTGTTTAGAAATTAAGTACCACCTGTAGGTTGTTGAATTCTCTGTATTACTGGGTTAAAGTATGATGTAACCCTTACACTAAAATATACAGAATTTAATTTAAGTACAGGCCACCTTAGCTTTCTGAACAAAACCCTATAACTAAACGCCCACCCTCGGCACCTACGCAATATTTTTGTTGTGTCGCCATTTGTTTGGCTGGCTGGCTGGTAAATTACCTTACGTATTGACAGCTGGCTCTGTGGCTAAGTCGATGCGAACGCTTCGTAATGCCAGGATGCCGGGTTCGATCCCAGCTGCGGGCCATGCGCCTTGCTTTGGTTTCGACAGTGGTATCAAGAAAGCCGACCAAGCAATGGCAAACTACTGGACGTAAATTTGCCTAGAAAAACCACACGGGGTTGGTTCTGCAACGTCCTGTAAAGGATACGCAACTAACCTCAGAAAACCAATATTGACAGCTACTAATTACCCAGAATTCTCCCTTCAGCCTAATTCTAGAAACGTTGACGTGTTGTGTTGGTCGACAGAATATACCCACTGACTATTGTTTTCATCTTTGTGTTTCACTGGATGTGAACTCCAGCTGAAAGTTCTGGTTGTTCGTCCACCTCTGGGTTTCAGTCTTGTTCCAGAACCTGAGTATTGCGTGCACATCCGTTCTATTGATCTGGCTAGTTTGTATGCAGACTGCTGGTTTCTTGCCTGTCAGGCACATGTGGTCCGACTTCGACGAATAAATAGTCGACTTCTGCTTTTGGGGAATCAGTGGGTCTATTCCGGTATTAGGGCCCCGAAACCCACAGACCGTTGAACCATTTAGAATATAATTGGATCCATTTCATCATATCTTTCGGCGTGTGTTGACTTACACTGTCGTCCTGAGTTGTTCTATTTTTGTTTTATAATTTTAAAAATATTTTTTTGCTGCCCAGACAGACAGACAGACAGACAGACAGACAGACAGACAGACAGACAGACAGACAGACAGACAGACAGACAGACAGACAGACAGACAGACAGACAGACAGACAGACAGACAGACAGATAGATAGATAGATAGATAGATAGATAGATAGATAGATAGATAGATAGATAGATAGATAGATAGATAGATAGATAGATAGATATGTAACAGGCTCATAGCAGCTTTTATAAATTTAGGCTAATTGCACTGGCGGAAAAACCTGGTCAGTAGTGGTTTTTTTGTGTGGGTGGGTGATGGGGGCTAGGAGTTGATAATAGGGCTAGTGCGTTCTCGGCTAGCCGTGGTCAGTTGCCCAGTGCTTGCTGATGCTAATCGAACGTGGTCTCAGCTCGGCACAGGCGCGATTGGCTGAGCCGAGATAGAGAGTATGGCTCGTTCTTTACAGCGGTGGTATCTTCCACGGTTAGTTTAGTTTTTAGATATACATTATCTCAAGTAGTTTAACTGTGCAGACCTAGATTATTAGTGCGTATTATCGCTGTGATTTTTTTTTGTTTTTTGAGTTCACTTCCCTAAAGGCGAACTTTTACTTTTATTTTTTAATCTAGGGTGCTTGAGGCGTGGCCTGTGTAGACATGGTGTTAGCTGTTAATGTATTGTTATTTTTGAGCCACGCTAGTTTTGTGTTCAGTAAAATAAACAGATGTTGAATTTGATGATTAAAGTTCCAGTTGTTTTGTTTCGGATTAGGACTTGAGTTAGGGTGCCTAGTTTTACTGTTACTACTGATTAGACTTCATAAGAGCATATCCTGTCTAGGTTAAGACACGGTGGTCTGAACCCACGCCTAACGAACTTTTCATCATTTTTCTTCCTTGTTACGGAGGCAGCTTGAGTATGGATTGGCTTACAACCACGACAATATTTGCTGGGGCTCTTATAGGCTTGAGGTAGAGGTAGGTCCAGAGAGTAGACTTTTATATTATCATTTATATTATCTCCTCCCTTCCTCTATACAACATCTTCCTTAGGTTTTGTTTCTAGTACAGATAGATAAATAGACAGCCATACATAAAGACATACAGACAGACAGACAGACTTACAGACAGACAGACAGACAGACAGACAGACAGACAGACAGACAGACAGACAGACAGACAGACAGACAGACAGACAGACAGACAGACAGACAGACAGACAGACAGACAGACAGACAGACAGACAGACAGACAGACAGACAGACAGACAGACAGACAGACAGAGACAGATATATAGTGCTGGTGGTTTTCTGATCGATTTAATGATCCTTTTCTGTTGGTGGTATGTGACTGATATACATCAGGCTGCACTTTTGTCGCACCTTTCCTGTTAGTATCTAGATTTCTCATTTCCAGGCACTCCAGAATGGGACGGTACCATTGCATTATGACTCTCCGCTGAAGGTTGAGTTGTGTCAGCAGTGTTTGCAACTCTAGTAGTTTCCTAGACTGGAGTACTTTAAGTATGGACTTTGCATCTGTTAGCATTACCACATACTTTGAGCCAAAATGTGTATTTAGCAGTTTCTCTGTTGCTACCTTGATAGCCTCAGTTTCTGCATCATTGTTTTGGCAGTACTTCCCGGTTGGTACGCTGGACTTATCCCAGGTAACATCCAGGAATTCTATGTACACTCCAGCACCACCATTTCTTACTGCACTTTCTGCGGACCCATCTGTATAGACTCTGGCCCATTGTTCTTGTGGGTATTTTTTATCAATATAACTGAGGGTTGCCATTCTGTGTTGTATACCATCTTGCCCTTTCTTGTCAAATACTCTTTTCACATTTGTCTGGATTTGTACTGTTAGTTTCCCTTTTTTCTCCATGGGGTTTGTTCTGGAATACTTTTAAGTAGACAACTAATTTCTGCAAGGGCAGTAGTTTGTCTACATATTCTTTTTGCTTGGTGTATAAAGCTGCTTGATTTTAACCGTCCTAAAGCTAGATTCTTAAATCTATTTTGCATGTGGTGATCTGGCATACTGAGGAGCTTTTCAGCTTGTATTTGCAACTTTGTATCTCTGCGTTCTCTCAGTGCCTGTGTTTTTCCAGCTTTCTCCATTTGATACATGGGGGTGGATTTCATCCCTCCTGTGATGACTGATGGTGGGATGATGGTGATGATAATGACGACCTAAAAGCGACCTGAACATGGAGACAGAAAGATAACACATGATAAGACAAAACATACAAATGTTCAAGTGTAAATATATTTATTAATGGCCGTTGATTAGAAATGAGACTGGCGCGGGAAAACGAGAAAGAAAAACTTTCAAAGGGAAGGAAGAGGTTCTGGTGATAGAATTAAAAATAATGGCGGAGGAGGGGAGAGGTGTTGATGGTAATGAGAAAAAGGGAGGGGAGGAGGTGGTGATGGTAGTGGTGAAGGAGAAGGGTGATAAATGAGGTAAAGGAAAGGAGAGATGATGATAATGATGAAGATAATGATGATGATGATAATGATGACGATGATGACGATGATGCTGTTGGTGGTGAAGGACGAGCAGAGGGGATGTTGGTTATTTTTGAAAAGGAGGAGTGACGGGGGGTTTGTTGATGATGCTGGTGAAGACGTTATTGTTGATGTAGATAGCAGCAGGAAAGGAGGGAGAACAACGAGGAGGTACTGGCAAAAACGGCAGTTGGTGCGGCAGGTATTGACGATACTAGTGTGAAGAAACTACAACATTTTATAATCTCAAGAGTTCAGGCAAGATCACACAGGTAGAACCGCCACCGTCTGTCTTCCTTCTTGTTTTCATGGTAGCTGTAAACACCTTTAATAACCTGCCCAGTGGGGACAGAAAAGGTCATGACTCCGTCCAAGTCGTTGACGTAAAAGGTTTGATAGCAGTTCCTTGTGGACCTGTTGGCGACTCTACCGCATTGGACCATGAATCGTCGGTCCTCACAGCGGTTGTCATGGTAACTCATCATTCCATTAAGCACCTCATTCCCGCGACACTTGTAGTCTAACGGTTTGTCAAATTGGTTGAGGTAATCTGGAAAAGGGAAAGTGGAGACCTGAGTAGAAAGTGTTTATTAACAATAGTGCAAGGTTATACAACCAGTAGCAGTAATAGTAGCAAGTAGCAGCAACATTAGTGATAACAACAGTTAAAATAGTAGCCACAAAATAGTGCTGGTGTCAGCAGGAGCAGCAACATTGGTAGTAGAAGTAGCGGCTGCAATAGTAATTGGAGTATTCGTAGCTGCAGTAGTAGTAGTAGTAGTAGTAGTAGTAGTAGTAGTATTAGTAGTAGTAGTAGTAGTAGTAGTATTAGTAGAAGCATTAGTAGTAGAAGTAGTAGCAGTAGTAGTAGTAGTAGTAGTAGTAGTAGTAGTAGTAGTAGTAGTAGTAGTAGTAGTAGTAGTAGTAGTAGTAGTAGTAGTAGTAGAAGTAGTAGTAAAAGTAGTAGTAGTAGTAGTAGATGTGGTAGAAGTAGATGTAGTAGTAGTAGTAGTAGTAGTTGTTGTTGTTGTAGATTAGTAGCACCAGAAGAAGGGGGACGAAGAAGGAGAAGAAGAATAAGAAGATGAAGGAGTAGAAGAAAAAGGGGAGAAGGAGAAGAAGATGAAAAAGAAGAAGAAGAAGCAGCATTGGTAGTAGACGTAGCGGCAGCAATAGTAATAGGTGTATTCGTAGCCGCAGTAGAAGTTGTAAAAGTAGTAATAGTAGTAGTAGTAGTAGTAGTAGTAGTAGTAGTAGTAGTAGTAGTAGTAGTAGTAGTAGTAGTAGTAGTAGTAGTAGTAGTAGTAGTAGTAGTAGTAGTAGTAGTAGTAGTAGTAGTAGTAGTAGTAGTAGAATAGTAGCACCGGAAGAAGTGAACAAAGAAGGAGAAGTCGTAAAAAAAGAAGAAGAAGACGTATAAAAAAAGAAGAAAGAAAAGAAGAAGATGAGAAATAAGAACATGGAGGAGGAGAAGGAGTAACAGAAAGAGAAAAATAAACAGCTGCAGCAATAACAACAACAACAACAAAAATTGATGAGGACTATTCGATAAACTATAGCTATAGAAAGATCCCCTGAATCCCATAGACAGAAAAAAGTACCGACATCTAAATGATCTGAACGTGAAGGAAGATTGGCTAGTCAACAGCATCTTGTCTTGGAAACTGAACTATTTTTATAATATCAAGCACCACGGCAGATTGGAAACAATGATAACGAAGGCATGGTACCAGGAAAAGGGGGACGGGCCGACCAGAAAGAAGAATGGCACAGGACATAGGTGACACCGTATATAGGAAAGTGCAGGAGGCGGGAGGAGCTGGCAAGATACATTCTATCATGATGAAAGCGATTTTCCGCAAAGCACATGATACAAATTGATGATCCGATAAACTACGTAATAAAGAGTATCGAACAAGGCAAACACCAACACTTTACTCACTTGTCCAGTAACAGCCGCTGATTGTATCAGGTGCTGGCCTACACGCAAACTCCCATATCCTGTCCTCATATTTATTCTCATGGATGCTGCCAATATAGCTCAGAATAGAGTTTGTCAAACATTCAAGTCTAGCATCTTTGTCATAGTCGTTAACAAACCCACAATCCACTTTTGTCCAGCCCATGACAAAAACAAGAAGGCAAACTCTGGCACTTGACAACATGACCCAGGTCTTCAAGGAGAAGGCCGAAAAGGTTCTGAAGGCTAGAAGTTCTGAGACTGGTATTCAGAACTGACAACTTTGTCGTCTGTTGAATTTTTTACTGTGTTTGCGCGCTGTGACAAGTTGGGTTAGCCAATACTACGTTTATACCAACATCTTGATGACTTAACGCAGATACAATAACATAAACAGGGCATTCACAATTTTACGGGAAAATATATTTCTTGTTTATGTCGTTTTTCTGTTTTTGACTCTATTGAAGGATCAAGGTCAGTTTCTTTCAATTTTTGACACTTCGACATGCTTTAAAATTCTTCATTCAGTTTGTGACACCATATATTGCTTCTAAAATTATGTCGCGTTGGTATTTTTTTTCGCGTTAACAGCTTAAGATTTCCTGTATTTTATTTTCTGAGAATTGGAATAATGTATCTTTTACAGCTCAGTATGCTTCTGAGATTGCTCTCACAATGTATGACAGTCCAGCACGCTTCAAAGATTGTATCGCGTTTGTTTTTCTTTCTTTGCGTTACATTTCTTGTCTTTAATTTTTGCGTTACATTTCTTGTATTTATTTTCTGGGAATTGGAATAATGTATCTTTGACAGCAACTAGATTTTTATTCTGCGTACTTTAGGTTTTATAGAAAGCCTATTGAATGCAGAGCTGCTAGGCTTCATGTGGTGGCACACTATAACCAAACTTGGAACTATAGTATTTTGGTCATATCAAGCACCATGGCGGATTGGTAACAATAAAAGCAGAAAGCATGGTACCAGGTAAAATGGCCAAAAGTATCTACATCTTCTTCTTCTTGGCGTTCACTGGCTGAAAACTCCAACGGAAAAGTCCTGGTAGTTCTTTTACTTCTGCACTTTGGGCATCTAGTTTAAGGATGGAGTTGGAGGCAGTCACAGCAACTTTACACTGGTTGAGAACTATTTGCATACACATGTCGTGATTGTATCCGGCTCACAAAGCATGTTATGAAAATGTGGCTATAGGCATGCTCCGTGCAGAGTGACAAGCGTCGATTAAGAGGTCCTAGGTTATTTGCGATCTTCGGGTTATGCAGGGGTGTTGAGGAATGAACCGGCAGATACATTCACTGATTCTGTGCCATTGGATAGGAAATGTCTTCTTCTTCTTCTTCATCTCTTGTTTGCCTGAAATAAGTTGTCTATATCAGCTATTTGCTAGCATAGATGCAGTCCAGCTGTGTCTCTCGCTTATCTTGTTTGTTGTACAGACGTTATACTAGCACACACACGTTTTTTTTTCAGTGTTAAGAATTGAAGACCCCTATTACATTCTTCCCCTCTGATCTGCCTCCTTTCAAGCATAATTTCATTCATGCATCATTTCATTCATGCATCATTTATTTCATACATCATTTAATGCATACATCATTTAATTCATACATCATTTATTTCATACATCATTTAATGCATACATCATTTCATTCATACATCATTTCATTCATGCATCACCTAATTCATACATAATTTAATTCATACATGATTTCATTCATACATCTTTTCATTCTTACATCATGTCATTCTTACATCATGTCATTCATACAACATTTCATTCATGCATCATTTCATTCATGCATCATTTAATTCATGTATCATTTCATTCGTGCATCATTTAATTCATACATCATTTCATTCATACATCATTTCATTCATACATCATTTTATTCATACATGGTTTCATTCATACATGATTTCATTCATCCATCACTTAATTCATACATGATTTCATTTATACATCATTTCATTCATACATGATTTTATTCATCCATCACTTAATTCATAATCCTTTCCCTTATACATCATTTCATTCATACATCATTTCATTCATACACCATTTCATTCATACATCACTTAATTCATACATCATTTCATTCATACTTCCTTTTATTCATACATATTTTTATTCATACATCTCTTAGCAAGTATTACCAATAATTATCAACAGCGACCAAATCATAAATACAAGCACATTGGAATGTAATCGAATTACACTTACATTTCTAACTAAATATTAAACCATAGTATTGGTATTAAAACTAGGAGAAATATACGATATGTTTAAAAATACTCTTTAGAAAAAATTCTTTTAAAGTGTGCTCAGACAGGCAGGCAGACAGGCAGACAGACAGACAGACAGACAGACAGACAGACAGACAGACAGACAGACAGACAGACAGACAGACAGACAGACAGACAGACAGACAGACAGACAGACAGACAGACAGACAGACAGACAGACAGACAGACAGACAGACAGACAGACAGACAGACAGACAGACAGACAGACAGATAAGTGAAATGGTGAACATACAGTAGAAAGCCACATTGCTAAAGGGAGACAGATGTAGACAGACAGACAGACATTTAGAAAAGCGTAATAGTGAACACACAGCAAAGAGCCAGATAGCCAAACGGAGATAGATGTAGACAGACTGACTGACAAACAGATAGACAGACAAATGTAACAGTACACAGACAGCAGAGAGCCAGATCGCCAGACAGACAGAAGGTAGACAGCGTGCCAGTCGGAGAGCCACACAAATCGCAAGACAGACATAAAACAGAAAAGACAAACACACAAACAGACACACCACAACAAATTCATTTCGTGTATGTTTATATTCTATTACATAAAAGGTTACGCATTTCTTCCCATTAAAAAAAAAACGACTTGATTTAAGGGGCGCTGACTCAAGAAAATAGGGGACTGGAGGCTGGAGGGGGGAGGGGAGGGGGGGGCACCACCTCACCCTGCCCCACTGTACAAATTTAGTAGGGAAAAGGTATGGGCTCAAGTAGTCATAGTTTAAATGCATAATAATAACAACATTACTAATGTGCAGAATGGGATATGAATATAATAATATACTAGAAATAATTTGAAATATACTCACAGAAACTTGTACATATAATTTATATACATGTCTGGGTGAGTGTATACCTAATATGATAGAGAACTAAATATTCGGCTCTCTCCGGCGCTGTGGTATCGACCCGGCCAGAAATGGCTATCACGAAAAGTCTTTGGAAGTAAAGGCAGCCTGCTTGATA